TTTTTTTTTTTGAGATAGAGTCTCAAGCTGTTGCCCTGGGTAGAGTGCCGAAGTGTCACAGCTCACAGCAACCTAACTTTTAGGCTTAAGCGATTCTCTTGCCTCAGCCTCCCAAGTAGTTGGGACTATAGGTGCCTGCCACAACGCCCAGCTATTTGTTCTTGTTGCAGTTGTCATTAATGTTTTAGCTGGCCCAAGCTGGGTTCGAACCCACCAGCCTGGGTTCAAACCTGCCAGCCCAGGTGTAAGTGGCCAGTGCCCTAACCACTGAGCTATGGGCAGTGCCCTTTTCAAAGTTCTTGACTCAAGTTTAGAATTTCCTAAGTAATCTCTCCCTGTTCTACACAGCTCAATAAAAGCAACCAACATAAAATCTCAAGCACTGATGAATGACAATCAATATTTTAAGCATAATTCTGAGAATATTGTACATATTTTTGCTATCACTGGGCTTTTCTTTTTTACACGTTTAGCATCAATGAACGAAGCTGGCAGAATGGTGAGGTGAACAGGAGAGAGAAAGGAGTAAGAGCATGGTAATAAAGATTAATGGTCCTGTAGTAAATGTCCTGTGTCGTACTTAATGATTAAAGGGTAACAAAACAAACAAAGGATATAAAGCAGAAGAAAAGTATATTAAAAAATTCAGACACACTGAAGACGGAAAGCAATTAAGGAAGCACTAAACCAAGCAGTGTAACTTAGGTAATTAGTGCTAGGTCACTGGCCTTACGATAAACAGGGTTTCCAAAGCCGCTGCAGCACGTCTTGCAAAGCTTATCTCTCCCAGTTGGTTGGGTGCCACAGCAAATGCCAATGCAATAACCTTGCCCTCTACTGTAATCTGCATACAACAGCTTGGCAATGGGCAGAATGGTCAAAGGGGCCACTTCAGCTCTTTCAGTGATCGGGTAGATTATAATTTTGCTAATAACTCCTTATTAGAATAAAAGAACAGAAAAATGCAAGACAGCTTTTTTCATGAGCAGAAGAGAAAAGCTCTAGGTTCCTATGAATACCTTAAAATAAGAATTCTTTTAAATGATGAAAAAGTTTCTTTTTCTACTGCAACACTACAACCTCCCTCAAAAGGGGAGGGGCAGAATGGGTAACTTAATGAAAAAAATAAAACCATGAGTGAAAACTGTTCCTGAAAACTTTGCAGAATTGTAACAGCTTTCTCTTGGTTAAATTGATTGGGATAGCAACATTATAAAATGACTATTAGGATTCATTGTGCACAACAGAAAGTGCTGAAATGTCAGCAGACTATACAGCAAAAAGTAATGGGTTCTGAACCCCTGTTAGTCAAAAATGATTTTGTTTCAAATTAGAAATTGATTTTTTTTGGACACAAGCCCGTTCCAGGCTTCCGGCTTCTATAGCTGGGCCCAGGAGAGATTAACCTCCACCACAGAAAGGGCTGGTCTGATGATACCTTTCTCAAAGTGCCTTTTTCAATCGCTGCTTTCTAATGTTGCTATGGTCTTAACCAATAACACAAGTTATTTGTCCTTTTGCTATTACACTTTATTCTTCTTATTTTGCCATTTTATCTTAGTGCTGACACACAACACAAATTCGTTGACAAGACAACAGAAGACTATGTTAAGCCTTGTGGTGTAACCACCATGCCAATTTGGACTGGTTCTTCACTCTCCAAAGTGCAATGATTAAAAATAGAAGAAGCCGAAGTAAGAGTTTCTCATCTCTGATAGACTACTAAGAGGGAAAGTTAGGAAGTCTCATATAGGAAGTCTCCTCAATTTCATTTTTGTTATTGGTGGCAATGTCTAAAAAGCAGCTTCTAAGCTGTCACAATGCAATGAAGGTCTGCATAAATTTCTGCCTATGTCAAACAAAACGTACCTTTGCTTTTGTTTCAAACTGTGGATGTTCGACCTTCTGAAATTTGGACTAATTATCATCTTTCAATTACCTGGGAGAGGATTAAATAATTTCTAGATGATTCATAATCAAAACCAAAAAGCATGACAGAGCTAGAATGGCAGGGAGGGGTATACTTGCGAGATCTGCTCATAAAGCATTGCCCAATTTTCACATAAACAAATGTGAGAATGGCCAGAGAGATTATGAAAAGTTGATCGCTTAACACCAGATGAAGAAGGTAAGTCAGAAGGAAATCAGGTTACTGATTGCAAGCAGGAAACAAAGGTATGTGGGAAAGAGGTGTGAGCAGGCGAGTGCTCACCGACCTTTTGGTCTTTGTTTCCTATATATCTTTTCCATACAATGAATCTTAAACTTGCTCCATCCTCATCTACAGTAACTCCTTCAAGGACGATTGGGTAGAATAAGCCAAAAGCCACTCCAGGAACAACTAGGAAACACAACTGAATTTATTTCATTCAACATTTCATATGGTTATTTCATTTCTTTTGAAAATCTACCATTTATATAATAGGACGTATTACTGACAGTTATAAAACCATTGTGCAATATGTACTTTAGATGTGGGAGGTTTTGTTTTTGCCACAATGTGGAGTTGTCCATGACCTCTCTTGCATACTTCCCTATGTCTCCAGTCAACTGAGGATTAACTGTAGTGGGAAGGGTTGAGTTTTCCAGAAGAGATTTATGTTCAATTGCTTGCTCTTTTTCTCACTTTGAAAATTATTTCTTCTCTATGACCATACTTGCTGTTGAATAATTCTTAAAAGTTTGCTGCTAGGCTTGGCGCCTGTGGCTCAAGTGGCTAAGGCGCCAGCCACGTACACCTAAGGTGGTGGGTTTGAATCCAGCCTGGGCCTGCCAAACAACAACGATGGCTGCAACCAAAAAAAATAGCCAGGCGTTGTGGCAGGCGCCTGTGGTCCCAGCTACTTGGGAG